ATGCATGTCAGCTAGCCTGGCTGGACTAGGACAGGGGATAGAAGAGGTCAGAGAATGGAAGATGGACCTTCAAAATTAGGCCAGGACTGAGAGCCTGCAGACCCCAAACTCCCACCAGCATTTCATTTCCCAAGTGAAAAACCTGTGGAGGCAGAAGGATTGAGAATATCTAATCACATTTGTCTCCCTAGAGACTTCTTTGCTSTGCAGCAGTTAGAAAAAGCTTAACAAACATCAGGGCTTAACTTTCTTCTCTCTCCTCCAGCCTGAGTGAACAATTATCCTAACACCAGACACAACCACCAATCACTGCACACCTGTCCTGGCCCAGGTGCTGTACTATGTATTTTGCATACTGAATCTCATCTTTCCTAACCACAACTCCTCCAGAGAGGTATACTGCCCATTTTACAGATGAGGAAACTGACGTTCTGGTAGCAAAAGTAATCTACTTATGATCACACAGCTGGTCCATGGTGGACTGGGGACTAGAGGTCCAAACCCAAGCAATTTCAAGAATTGGAACAACCAAACAAAAACTTTGCAGACCAGTTGTGATCTGAGAGTCACTGGGTTGAGACCTCTGATGGCTGTTAAGCTGCTTTGAAAACTTGAGAGTGCCTAGAAATTCAGTAGATTGCTTTCATTATTCAGAATAATAAGTTGTCTATTATGTGCCAGGTACTGAATTTTGTAKAATTGGTTGAAGAATAGGAGGGACTTGCAAGCAGGTGCTCTGCCTGCTTGCTTGCTTTTTCTTTTACACTTAATCAGCTCCARCTCATGGGGCTTGTGTGAGATGCTGGGGACATAGTGAGATTCAGATAGTCACATGGTTCCTGTCCTGAAGCGGCTCCCAAATAAAGATACTTCCACTGTCACTGGATAAGTACTGTTAGGGAGGCTCAGGAAGGCTACAGAGGATAGACCTCTAATGCAGTCATGGCAGTGGAAAGGGCCAGGTGGGTCAGGGAAGGCTGTCTAGAAAAATACTCTACAATGGCTAGTCCTGACTACTACAGGGACTATGAACTAATTTAGTGCATAGCAACCTATATTTAACAAAAATAGAGGAGAAAAAAACCATAATACATTGTATATGCAAAGATACACACATGTGCATGCATGCATGTGTATGTGGGAGAGAGAACGGGGCCATGATGTAAAATTCTTTACTGTGAGCTATATAGTCAGAATATGTTGCCTGCTCTGATCCTTTGGCATGTTGTTGGTGTTCAAAGCCTTTTYGAGGAGTGGAAGGATGGGTTTAAATTTTTGTAGGCTGAGGCAGGGGGATGGCTTGTGCCCAGGAGTTCAAGGTCTGCGTGGGCAGCAAAGCAAGATCCCATCCCTCACACAAAAGAAAAATGATTTGCACAGCAATCCAGCAAGGTACCACCCTTCCCAATTAAGAAAGACGTTCTCCAACACCCACATCCAGTAAATTGAGCATGTTTTTAGTTCAGCAGCAGCTGGGTTTTATCAGTTAGGCCTAAAGCAAGCTTCTGACTAGGGAAAATGAGCCCACAGGAGACAAGGAAAGAGGCGAGGAGGTCTGAAGAGAGGCCTGAAGGGGAACCGAAGGCAACTCTTTGCTGGTGCCCCAGTCTGTGACCTGCTAAAAAAATAAGTGCCCAGCCCTGACCCACCCAAGTGGCATGGCTTCATAATAGCAGTGGCAGAGGCACTGTGTTTACTCTGGGATGGCCTCAGTCACCCACGCCAGGCCCAGAGAGCCACCAGCTCCTGCCTCAGGATGCCAACAGGAAGCACTGTTTATGGAGGCAGATTGGAGAGAAAGGCCCTGAGCAAGACAAGATGGACAGAGTGCAGGTCAGTCCCTTGCAGGGGGACGTGAGTCAGGGGTAATGACTAGGTGTCCAGGAACAGAGGCTCCCTTTTAGTGGTTTTCAGGACACTCTGAACTTGGTCCATCTTATAATATCAGGACCAAAATATCCTTTGGCTATATTCTCCTCTATCCTCGACTCTTAAGGTTGGAAGCACCCTAGAAATTATCCAGCCCAACTCCCTCATTTTACACATGAAGAGAAAGGGGCCCAGAGAGGGAAGGCACTGATACAAGGCAGCCGGCAGGCAGCTCGAGAGGTAGGGCCAGGACTGGGAATCCAGATGCCCCTCTCCCACCATCTCACCAGAAAGGTCTTCTATCTAATTTTGCCCGCTTTGACCTCTTCTCTAAACAGAGAAGTCTTTCTAAAGGACAAAGCACTTACTAGGCTATTTGCTAAGACCTTCCCTTAGTCCCCACTGTCACATGGCGAAAAGACACTCAAGATCTTTCCCACTGCTGTAACCTGGACTCTTGGGCTTCCTCTCTTGCTCTTTTCCCACCCACATATCATAATCTCATGATCCTGAACCACTTGGGCTCCCTTGAGGTAAAACATTCTCTCCCAACTCTAAGCTTTTACATGTGCTGTTCCCTCTGTTTTTAACACTTTTCCCAACTTTGGGTATTTGTCTGCTCTTTTCTAGGTTTCTGAATAGATTCTGGTTATTCCAGAAAACCTCCCTGGCCYGCTGGCCTCCAAACTTAGGTGTCCCCACTGACTTCTCTGGCAGCGACTCTATTATTATGACTTACTGTACCATTAGTTTCTCTGCTCCTTGACAGATGATTCTGATATTATTACCACCACCTTGCTTAACAGGAGCCAGGTTCACAGCGGGTACTCGACAAATACCTGCAGACTCTCAGTGTCCATCATTCTATAGGCTTCCTAAGAATGGTCTTCTCTTCCCATGATGTGTTATTAGCTTAATCACCAAGGATGGCTTCTTGTGCTCACAGGATTCTGGGAGTCATCATTTCTTGTTTTTTTTTTTTTTTTTTTTATGCTTCTGTGATGGACACAATCTCTACCGGGCCTCTATCTCATTTCTCCTTTGGGGGAGAGGTGAGGTATCTTTGGGAAGAATGATTGCAACTCGCTATACAAGAAAGCGTAGAGGACACGTCTGTAAAGGGCGGGTGTGGATGTGGTCTGGGCCAGGTAGAAGCGCTCACTGGCCCCCTGCACTCTGCTTTGCCATGCGGGGCCTGGGGCTGACTGGACAACACTTCTGCTTTGCCGGCAGCTCTTGCGGACAGAGGAGTCACATTCTTTTCTCTTCTGCTTGATGTTCATGTCAGTGTTGCTCAGAGTGACACTCATTTCATGTCCAGTTTCCAGGAGTTTTTTGTTTTTACCTACACTCCCAGAGCCARCTTCATCCTTCTTTTTGCAGGCTCTTGCTGACCAGTGTACCCTCCTCAGAGGCCAAGGGTCCCAGCTCTGCAGGGCCCCTCCTGAGAGCTCCCAAAGAGCCAGCCCGGCTGGACAGTGCCCTCTCAGAGGTCTGACTGTGGTTCCTTGAGGTCCCTCCACGGACCTTCCAGATCCTCCTAACCCAGGCTCTTGATGGTGGCCCGAGTCCTGGAGGCAGGACTGCTACCTCAATRAACGCCATTTGCTTTTTGGGTTTCCAGTAGCCACTTAGCGGAGCTCCTGATATTCAGTTCTTTCTGTTTTTCTGGCTGGCCCCTGACTGATACAAGTAGAAACAAGGTAGACAGTCCCTTTCCACATGCATCTGACAGATATTAAGAAAATAATTACAGAAATGAGTCATTAATTACAGTTGAATTTTGGATACTTAAGGAAAAACACAAAGCCTTTTTGCATATCAAAGTCCTGAGAAGCCTTCAATAAATAAACCTGGTCAGGACTGCTGGATGTGACAACTCCTTAGCTCATCTGACCAGAGAAGCCCACAGTGAACCTGTGAGCATTCAGTGCTCTACAGAGTAAACAGTGCTCTGTGTTCATGGAGAAAGTCACCAAAGAAACATGAGTCAGGACAGTCAGAGAGCACACGTTGGCCCCGTTCCTCCAATGCCCCAGCTCCGGGATTCCAGCCACAGACATGTCAACCATTTGCTTTGCTCTAATACCTTCCTCAGAGGCAACTTTCTGATCATTAYGGCTGTCATTATTGGAGAGGATGCTGTCCACAACCAGTAAAGCCATTCTGGTCCATTCGTCAGTTTCTTTCTCATGACAGAGAAAGGTTTCTGGACCTGAGTCTCTAGAGGGACCAACGATCCCTTAAGACTATATGCAAAATGTGTGTGTGAACATGTGTACTTGTGTGTTTGCATGTGTGGGCATCAGGTCCCACAGCTACGGTTATTCCTAGTAGGACTGTGACTCCAGGAAAGGGATTAAACGTTAAGGATCATTGCATTACACAAACATGTTCATGTTCTTATTTGTGCGCTGGGCTCCTGTGAGTTAAGGCACTGTACATCAGTCCTTCTCAGCCTGCTCAGCTTTGTGTTCTCTTCCCCACTTGAATCCTCCAGCTGGCTGTGCCCACCGGCCTTCCTGGGCCACGCGGCATTGCTCCTCCCTCTGCCTGAGTCCATGCTCCTTCCTCTGACAGGAACCCTTTCCCCTTGCCTGGGCTCAATTCCCAGTTACTCTCCAGGACTCCATTTAGTTGTCATATCTTTGAAACCTTCTTTGACGGACCAGTTTTGAACTCAGAACTCCTTAATCATGCTTCCATAGTATCGCTCCCACCTCTCTGGGACACCTATTTTCCCTCCTCCCAGGGCCATACTTTTCCTTTTGGTGGTGCCTACTCTATGACACAATCAACTGTTTGCAGGCCTTGTCTGCTGCCTGTTGGAATTGAAGCTCATGGGGAAAGGGATTCGTGTCTAGCTTTGCTGACCAAGCCCAGTGTCTAGCACAGAATAGGTGTCCATTACATGCTATTGAAGGAATGCATGCCAAAATGACTACTTCGATCCTTTCAGTGCTACACTCACTCGYGCCATCACAGTTAGATGTCCTTGACCCCACTCTAAGACTATGTACAGACTTACCAGCCACAAAARAAGTCCAATTTTTGTCTTGTCATCAAATGCAAAATCTTATATGTGGATAAAGAGAAGAGAAAGCATGCCAAGGGTGTCGGAATAAACCCACCTGCGTTTCTCAGAAAGCGGTTCCTATAGTCCTTAATTATCCGAGTGCTGGGATCGTAGAAGCCATCTCCACAATCATAGGAGGCTGGGGGAATTGTTCTTGGTGGATCCATGTTGGTGAGTTGAGAGATACCTTGAAAAGGTACAACAAGCGATTAGTTTACTACCAAGGCCGAATCCAAACCAATGCCCCCTTGAGACCCACTGTGGCTGGATGCTCATATTGAACGAAACGTTCCTTGAGTTAGAAGAAAACCAAGCAAGAACAGAGACGCAAGGAGATTTCTGAAAATGGGACTGTGAGCAGGATCTTGGGAATGCTACTCTGTCTTTCTCCTGACCCCTACTCTTCTCCTTGCTCCTCTCCTTCTTGGAATACCTTGATAAAGGATTCAGGTTCTGGAGTCAGCGAGACCCTGAGTCTGATTCAGAGTTGCCCAGGTGGACAGGAGGGCAGGTCCAGGAGAGGGATGGCATTCAAAGTGTGGGCAAAGRCCACAGGTATGAGTCCTCCAGCTTCACTCAGAAACCTTGTGGAGCAGAGTATATACAAGGGAGAATACAAGGAAGGAAATGGGTCAGGGGGACAAGGGTCAGAGAGGGGAGAAACTTGACTCTAACCTAGTTACCACAGTGGCTGCCATTTATTGAGTGATTATTTGTGCCAGGCATTATGCTTTTTATAGATAAGAAAACCAGCCAGTGTGGTGGTACACACCCGTAACCCCAGAGCCTCAGGAGGCTGAAGGCAGGAGGACTGCAAGTTGGAGGCTAGCTTTAGCAACTTAGTGAGGCCCTAAGCAAGTTAGTGAGTCCCTGTTCCAAAATTTAAAAAATAATTACAAAAGGTCTGGGGATGTGGCTCAGTGGTAAAGTGCCCCTGGGTTCAATCCCTAGTATATAAAAAAAATTGTGTGTGTGTGTGTGTGTAGAGAGAGAGAGAGAGGAAGAGATAGATAGGGAGAGAGAGAGAGAGAGAGAGAGAGAGAGAGAGAGAGAGAGAGAACTGATGCTCTGAGAAGCTAAGGGGTCAAGAGGAACACAGAGGTAGCGTTCCCAAGGTAACTTGCCCAAGGTTACCCAGCTAGGAAGCAGTCTGCTCTGGAATCTGTGTGCTAAGTGCCTGTATCCGGAGAGGCAGGGCCTGGGTGCAGCCCCAAGACATGGACGCTGAGATGCCCAGGAGGGAAAGAGGAGTCAAAGCACTTTGTGTGACAGCACCTTGAGTGTTATCTTGGAATGCTGTGGCCTGAGTATAGGAAGAGGTTGGAATAAATAACTTCTTAAATTCCTTCTAATTGTAGACCCTGTCATTCCCTGTTCTCTGGATGGACAGTTGGATGCCCACATCCACACTGCCTCATGTTCACAGCTCAATGTCCTGCTGAGTAAGTGCTCTAATGTTGGCTAATGATAACGCCTGGCCCTGACCCCAACGCCATGCATATTGACTAATGATTAATGAGCATTTATTCCATGCCAAGTGCTTTACAGTCATTCTCTCACTGAAGCCTCAGGCCAATGCCCATTTCACAGATGCTCGGAGAAGTCAAGGGTCATCCCTAACCATCACCTTGMCAAGCAGCAGAGCTGCCCTAACAATGCCTGCCTTCTGAGGCAGAATGCAGAGTGATACGGGAAAGGAGTGGGCTCTTAGGACAAAGCTCCTCTACTGGGAGTCCCTGGAGGAGAAGGGGAAGGCCAGAGAACGGTCACCACACTGCCTCTGAGCCTGGCAGAGGCTCCCCTTTGGTGAAACTAACTGCCATGGGAGGGCTGAATTCTCTTCACCCACACATGGGCTCTTTGTCCACAGGCCTCAGTTGGGGTAAAGAGCTCATGACAAAGTCTAGGCCCCATCACCCAGGAGGAGAGTGATATGYAAGGTTCTCAAGTTAAACCTAGGCTGGCAGCTCTGGGTCCTCCCCCACCAGCCAAAATGGGTTTGTTGATGTCATTACCTTGATTCCTCAAGTRTACTTCTCTCCCTCCACTGTGATGTCCGGAGTATTATCCCTTTGACAGAAACTCTTTACAGAGCTCCACCTATATGCCAGGCAATCTGCTAGGTGCTAGGACGTGTCCCTTAATAAGTCCAAGCTCTGTATTGGTGTTGCTCACAGCTGGTATAGGAAGATAGAGCCAGAACACTCCTGATCTCAGCTCTGGAGGAGGGTCACAGMTGCTTAGTGACATGCCACGGGGAGACCTCACCCAGTCTAGAAATTCAGGGAAGGGGTTTCTGGAAAAAGGGACATAAAACTGAGACCTGAAGGTTGGGAAGGAGTTATTTGAATAAAGTGGATGGGTTAGAGCATTCCAAGTCAAAGAACGGCGGGAAAAAACTTGGTGTCTGTGAGGAACAGAGAGGAAGYAGCCATAGCAAGAGCAAGAAGGGCCGAGAAGGGTGGGTAGCTAGGGAGAGCTTGGGGACATTAGAAGGAGCTGGTGAATGAGTTATTTTTAAGAATTTGGACCCTTGTTGGAAGCAGTGGCTCATATCTGTAATTCCAGTGACTAAGAAGAGTGAGGCAGGCAGATCTGAAGTTTGAGGTCAGCCTGAGCAGCTTAGCCAGAGACACAGTCAGTCTCAAAACAAAATATAAAAAGGACTGATAATGTGGCTCAGTGATAAAGTGCCCCAGCTTCAAATTCCAGTCATGAAAAAAAATGAATTTGGATCCTTACCTTTGGGGTAGTAGGAAATACTCAAGGTTGGAGGTTTGGGAGGTGGTAACCAGATTTATACTTACCAAAGATGCAAGTGATTGCAGAATGGAGACCAGCCCAGGAGGAAGTGTGGGATCTTTTTTTAACTTGTTGTTTTTAGATATACATGATAATAGGGTATATTTTGACATATTATATATATATGGGGTGCAACCCTTTACAATTTTCATGCCATTCTTKTGGTTGAACATGTTGTGAAATTACACTGGTTGTGTATTCACATATGAGTTTAGGAAGTGAGTGGGGATCTGAGGAGGTTAGGTAACCCCAGGGGAGCAATGAAGGAGGTCTRGAATAGGCCACTGGCAGAGGATGAGCAGAACCCTGACAGAGGTTCGCACCGAGGTGCTCAGTATCTGTTGAATGAACAAATGAAGGAACATATTTGAGAGGTAGAATCTTAGGACCAGGTGATCTATTGCACGTGGGGCAAAGGGAAGCTGAGAGGTAGCTTATCTGACACTCATTGAGGTAGTCATCACTGGGGAGACAGGGTTGGTGAGATGGTAATGAAACCAGGGCAGACAAGTTGAGGGACAACCCATGGAAGGGAAGCTGGATGCAAGAATCCGAGTCTCGGGGACTTTGATTTCAATTTGGAAGCTGATGGCAGTTGAAGGTTAGAAGTGAAGGGAGGGGCTATAGAATACTCACTACCGATGGGAAACCTCATCAGAAATAATGGGGGRTGTTGAGATGAGGAGACACGAGCAAGACAAAGAAATGGGGGAGTAAGTGTCAGGACAGGAAAGGGAGAGAAGGCAGGTCTCTTGGCCCAAGGTCACAAAGCCAAGAAGTAAAGCAGCTGGGAATTTGAGTTCAGGTCTATCTGATTCTAATGCCTGGATGCTTTCTGGAAGTTTCTTCCCTGTTGGACAGTGACTTGTCCAAGTTTATCCAGCCATTGAGAGGGAATGCCAGGACTTGAACTCAGACCTTCTGGCTCTAAGCTGACAACTGCACCACACTTTCTCTCCTAACCTAARWTWWKWTTTTTTTTTTTACAGTTTCTGAAGTCACTTTGTCACTTGTCATTTGGAATGTATCACCTCAGCTGTGCYCAGAACTATGCTCTACTTGAGATGCACCAACCTTACATGAGTCTTAGAAACACAGAGAGCCCCTTAAGACACCACTCCCTGAAGGCAGACTCTTGGTCCAGCCGCAGCCCTCTGGGTTGGACATGGCTTTCGCAGGGAGGTATTGTGATACAGAGAGGGAGACTTGGCTCCCAGATGAACTCTGCCACCAGGAAATGTGTCCAAACTCTATGACCTCAATTTTCTCCTCTGTGACATGGGACTGGGAAGGTTGTCCAGGAGGGTTCTCAGGAGAGTCAAGAAGACAGGGATTCCACGGAGTCTCTCCCAGCAYGGGGTCCACAGAGCACATACTCCATTGGTGCTGCTCTTTGCCCTTATCTTTCACTTTTTTAACTATTTATGTATTTTTTTTTGTACCAGGGATTGAACTCAGGGGTGYTTAACCACTGAGCCACATCCCCAGCCCTTTTTTATATTTTATTTAGGGACAGGGTCTCACTGAGTTGCTTAGCACCTTGCTAAGTTGCTGAAGCTGGCTTTGAAATACCCATCCTCCTGTGTCAGCCTCCCCTTGAGCCTCTGGGATTACAGGCATGCRCCCCTGTGCCTGGCCTGTTTACATATCTTTAGGGTTGCAGTAGGTACCATAAATAGAAACAGCTACCATGTACCGTGCACCTTCCAGGCACCTGCCAAGCACATGCGAGGCAYTGTTCCATGCACTTCATAGGAATTATCTTATCGACAACCATCTTGTGWGGTAGATGATGTTATCGTTCCCTTTTTGGAGGGGAGAAGCTGAGGTGCAGAGGGGCAGTCCCTTATTCACAGTGCCTAGCTAGTAGATGGAGCTAAGATTTGAGGACTGGCCTTTCTGGCTCCAGGACCTGGCTCTCTTGTGTTCTGCTGCCTCTGCTCAGTTCCTCCACTCCTTGGGTTACTTCAGTAGGCCATGACACTATTTAACACTGCTTTAGTTTCCCTCTCAGTTTGGGTGTGAAGGAAAGGGCGGATGCCTGGATACCTGAAGGCTTCAAGCCAAAGCAGATCTCCGTGTAAAACCTCCGGTCATAGCCATCGCAGTAGTGCCAGTTCTTAGCATCATACTGCAGCCCATCTGCAAAGGTGTATGTGCCCTGGAAGACAAAGAACACATGTGCTCTTGAGGAAATAGGAGACTTTTTGCAGAGAAGGTGGATGTCAAGGAAGAGATGGGTTCTTATTGCCATAGAAAAGAGGTGATGATTGTCACAATTATTATGGTTGTGAGGATTGGAGGGAATGGGTATAAAGTTCTGAGCTCTGTGCTTGCCACCCAAAGGATGGGAACTCTGTGAATTTAGGTAGACAACCCATTCTCTTGGCCCTCAGTTTTCCCATTTGTAAAATTAGAATAATGATGGTGTATATTTAATAGGGACGATTGAGAATTCAATGAGATGGTGCATGTAAAGCACTTAATACAGTGCCTGATTGTGATAGTTAATTTTATGTGTCAACCTAACTGGACTAAGCAATGCACAAATAGCTGGCAAAATATTTCTGAGTGTGTCTGTGAAGGTGTTTCCACAGAGATTAGCATTTGAGTCAGTAGAATGATTACTTTAGATTGCTCTCACCAGTGCAGGTGGGCATCATCAAATCGTTTGAGGGCTTAAATAGAACAAAAAGGCAGAAAAGAGGCCAATTCTGTCTCCCTGCCTGAGCAGGGACATCCATTTTTTCCTGCCCTTGGACACCAGCACTTCTAGTTCTTGGGCCTTTGCACTTTGACTGGGAATACATCATTGACTCCATGGCTCTCAACCTTTGAGTTTGGGCTTGAACTTCACCACTGGCATTCCTGGGGCTCCAGATTGCAGAGGGCAGATTGTGAGACAGCCTTCATAATCTCATGAGCCAATATCTCTTAATGAATCTCTCTCTATATATGTATAGTGAATATCTACATGTGTTCATGCATGCCCTTTTGATTCTTCAGAGAATTCTATACACAGACATATTAAGCACTCATAAAGTTACTTATTATTCTTTTATTATCATAGCCGAAAGTTCAGCACCATCAGCCACGACCCTTTGTCCAAACATGTGCATTCTGCTTTTGCTGCATCCATGCTAAAGGGAATCTCAGGATGCAGAATCTACACTGGCCTAGGCATCAGGAAACATGGGTGGAAATTCCCACAGTACTATTAATTCACTGTGTGACCTTGGGTAAGTCATATCCCCTTCCTGAGGTTTAGCTTCTCCAAGTTATAAAATAAGAAGTATTTCTTAACCTTTTTTAAGGTTATGTATGAGTCAGGGCCTAACACACCCAGTGAAACTCCATGAAAGCTATGGATTCTTTCCCAGAGAAAAACATACTCCCATACATACAGAAACTTTTGTGCATAAACCAGGTTCACTGATCTCTGAATTCTATCCATGGGCCACAAATTCCAGGTTCAGACCCCTTGGATTAGATGACGTATGACAGCAGCAGAGCTAGCGCTTATTGAGTACCCACTCTGTGCGAAGAACTTGGCAAAGTGCTCACATATTTTGCTTTATTTATTCTCACAACCTCCTAGGAGATGCCTAGTACTACTGTGGCAGGCTGAATAATGGCCTCCAAAGGGGTTCACATACGATGGGACTTGTGATTATGTCAACCTGCATGGCAAAAAGGACTTTGCAGATGCAATTAGATTAAGAATCTTGAAGTGGGGGAGATTCTCCTGAGGTATCTGGGTGCACCAAATATAATCACAGGGTCTTTATAAGAAAGAGGTAGGAAGGTCCGGGTGAGAGAAAACAAAATGATGCAAGCAGAGGCAGAGAAGAGGATGTGTCGCAGGAAGCAGAGGTGGGAGTGAAGCATGGTGAGGAGCCAAGGAATGCAGGCAGCTTCCAGAGGCAAGGCAACACATTGTCCCCTAGAGTCTCAGGAATGCAGCTCACTCAGTTTAGACTGCCAACTTCCAGATCTGTGAGATAATAAGTCTGTGCTGATTTAAGACACCAAATTTGTGGTAATTTGCTGTAGCAGCAATAGACAATGCATACAACCACTGTCCCTGGTTTACATATGAGGAACTCTAGTCTCAAGAGAGGTAAAGTCATAGGCCCAAGGTCAAATAATAAGAGGCATAGCAGGATTCAAACTCATCATAGCCTCCTCAGGGACCATTCCAGATTGAGAGGGAGAATATTCTAGAATATCCTAGAGAATATTCTGGGAAATCAAGAAGTGGGAGAGATACAAAATAGATATGGGTGGGTGCTAGACAGGGAGGCAGAGCATCACAGCAGTGGGGGGGTGGGCTCTTCCTGTCCAAGGATCCCTCTCTGCCTCCCCCATCTGTTCACCTTGATGGCCAATCCCTTTTCCCAGACAGCRTCATATCGGCTCCCGCTGGGGAAGTACAGGGTTCCTTCACCATGAAACATGCCGTCCTTCATTTCCCCAACATATCTTGTTTCTGTTGGGAGGATGTATTCAGCTTTGCCCTCCATCCTGYAAGGACATAGGAAAATCACTGAGCCCTGTAGGAAGCTAGTCCTCGATTTCGCGCGTCATCCTCTCAGCAATATTCTGTCTAAAACCCCAAATTTTGTTTTGTTTCCCTCAAAAATCCTGCTTAAGAGGTGGGGCAGAGTTCAGTCTGTTCCTTCTCCCTTCGCCTGTAGGCTGTCCTGGAGTTCATGCTGTTCAATGAAATACCTTCTTGCTAGGCCCAGAGAGGGTAGGGATGTATCCAAAGCCACACCATAGAAACTGAAATGAAGGCCAGGGCTCAATCAGCAGATTTTTGATTTCCCTATTCCTCCTCACTAAGCCACAACTGGGATACTTGAAAAAATATGAAATTTAGAGATAGGAGATACGGGTTTGAATACAGCACCTTTTCTAGAAGGATCATCCTGGACACTTCCCCAAATTTCTCTGTCTCTATCCCTCCCTCCCAAAAAAATATTTCCAGAGCACCTGCTGTGAGCCAAGTGCTAGGTCGAGAGCCAGGCTGCTGGATACAGCACAGACCCAAGCAAGGCGGAAGCCCTCCCGGTCTGCACAAGGGACACAAGTAAGCAATTGCACAATGTGTAGCAAGTGCCCTGCAGGAAATCATGGGTGTGTACAAGAGTACAGGGCAGGGACAGSAAGGACAGCTGGACCAGGGGACCGGCTTCTTCATGGGTGCAACTAATCTCAGTTCTGAGGTCACCCCTGACAGTATACGACAGTTTTCTTAGTAAAGGGCCTGACATACAATGAGTACTTTAAATATGCTCTTATTTATTTTTGTGGTACTGGGGATTAAACCCAGAGCACTCTCCAATGAGCTCCATCCCCAACCCTCTTTATTTTTAATTTTGAGACAGGATCTTGCTAAATTTGGCCTTGAACTTGTGATCCTCCTGCCTCAGRTTCCCAAGTCTCTGGGATTACAGAGGTACATGCTACACTATGCCTGGCTGAGAGCTATGTTTTAATTCATTCCTTTTCCATTCCTCCCCACTGGCTGAAGTCACCTTTCCTAAACTCTGTTGGAGGCTCAGCACTTTAGGCCCTGCGCTGCAATTAAACATCTCATCTCCTGYGTTTAATCAGAGCCTCTAGAGAGGAACACCTTGCTCTCAACTCCTAGGACCACACTTCCCTCTTAAACAAGTGCCCTGCAAACATCTACTGAGTAAGGAATGAAGGGAACAGAAAGTCCAGAGAACTGATGGAATGGGTGCCACAGCCCCAAACATGAGTGCCCGGTGGGGAAGGCCCAGCTTCCSAGCCTGCAGACCTGGGTGTGGGCAGCTCCATTTCTGCCACTTTGTCAGCTTCCCTCCTTCCCTTTCTGTCCCTCTGTCTTTTCCTCACTTCCTCCTTCCCTTTCATTCTTTAATTCATTCAAAGTGAAAAGCTTTCATTCTAAATGTGAAGTAAGTTAAAAAGAATGCAGAAAGCCACTTTATAGTGAAGACTTCAATGCCTAATGAGGATATGATTACCATATTTCTAATATCTACCATTCCTTCATTCTCCTCTTAATTCATTTGGCCAAAATTCATTCTCTACCACAAATATGCACTATGAGGAGTGATACAGAAATGAAATCGATTAGATTTCCAACACTGAGCCCTAGAAGATCTTTTAGCAATTCCTCCACTGCCAGAATTGTGTAAAGTGTTGAACTTTGTCTTTTCTGGGGCTCAGCCCATTCCCCAGTTTTCCCTCCCAAAATCCCTCTAAGCCTACCCTACCTCTGGCCAAACTGGTTATCTGCTCTTCCCTACACAAGTCCTCTGGGCTATTGGTCCTGCTGTTCCCTCTACCCAGTAACATTCTTCACCTTGATTCTCCACCCATCGAAATCCTACCCAACCTTCAGGGTTTATTTCAAATATCATCTCTGTGAAGCCAGTTGGGTGTGGCTTCTGGGAGGCAACAGGGCTCTATAGTGGAAAGCAGGTGGTTGTAGAGTCTGATAGGCCTGGGTTTCAACACCTGCTCTGTCCAGTGCTAACCAGGTGACTTTGAGCAAGTTATGTAATTACTGAGTCTTACTTTTCCTATCTGTAAAAGAGGATAATGATGCCTACCACACAGAATTGCTTTAAGGAAGGGAAGATGCAGGCAAAGCCACCTGGAGCATAGTGGTCACTACATAAATGTTATTGGTTTCCCTTTGCCCCCTGCGTTTGTAAGTCTACCCTAGCACTTCTTGTGCTGCTTTGCAGTAGTGTTATCTAGAATTCAATTCTGTAACTATTCCAAAGAAACCATGATCTTGAGGGAAGATCCTACATTAGCTTTTTATTTTTTATATTCACACATGGTACTAGGAAATCATCTCTTTTATTGTTGTTGTTGTTGTTTTTTAAGACCAGCTTTATTGAAGTACTATTGACATATCACAAAATACACGTATTTAGCTTGGACTATTTGGTAAGTTTTGACATACACTCAGAAAACCATCATCACAACAGACATAATTAATATATCTGTYATCCTCCAAAATTTCTGCATGCCCTTTTGTAATCCTTCCTGTGTGCCCCTCCCCACAGCCTTCATGCCCAGGGAACCACTCATCTGCTTTCTGTCACCAGGTTAGTTTGCATTTTCTAGGATTTTATATAAAGGGAATCATACATCTTACTGATTGATTGATTGATTGATTGTGTTAGAGATCAACCCAGGGCCTTTTGTGCTAGGCAAGTGTTCTACCACTGAGTCATATCCCCAGCCCTGTGTGTGTACTTCTTGGTGTTTGGATTCTTTCTTTCTTTTTAAAGAAATATTTATTTATTTATGTATCTTTAGTCTTAGGTGGATACATTAGTTTGTTTTTATCTGGTGCCGAGGATCTAATCCAGTGCTTCATGCATGCTAGGCGAGCACTCTACCACTGAGCTACCACCCCAGCCCCATGGATTCTTTCACTCAACACAATTCTTTATAATTCATTCATGTTGGTGTTGTGTGTACCATTTATCACTCCTTTTGTTGTGTAGTGTTCCTATGGATAGACATGCCACAATTTGTTTATTCACTTACCTATTAATGGGACACTTGGGGGTTGTTATCACAAATAAATGTGATAACATTTATGTAATTTATAAATGCACTCATATATGTATGTTTGTATGGGTATGTATTTTCAYTTAAGAAATGGTCAAACTTTTGCAAAGCAGTTGTAATCTTTTTTACATTCCCAGCAGTAGTAGGGAGTCTATACAAACTAAATGTTAAATATCATCTTCTTATTGTATACAGAAACTACTCTCTTCTTTAAATTCTAAAAGGAAATTACCCCTTCTCAGCCAAAGGGAAAGTGCACACCAAGCATTCTGCCACTTACCTATGAGTTGGACAAGTATCTGAAGCTCTAAACCCCAATTACCTCTAAAGTGGAGCTAATGACATTTCCCTTGCAAGGTTGACTAAGGGTTAAAGATAGAACCCCAAATTTACTACCACCATCTCTAGAAATCTATGTTGTAACCCTGGCTAGACCATTGATCTCTTCTTCCTTTTAATTTTTTTTTGTAGTTTAAATGGATACAATACCTTTATTTATTTATCTTTATATGGTGCTGAGGATCAAACCTAGGGCCTCACACATGCTAGGCAAGTGTCTACCACTGAGCTACAACCCTAGCCCTTCTTCTTCCTTAAAAAAAAAAAAAAAAAAAAACTACTGGAATCCAACAACCTGGGAATACAGCCCACAGATTCCACCAAATTCTCACTCTTCATTTCTCCATCTTTACAGTCCCATGGTAGGTGTGCATCACCCTTTGAACAACTACCACTTGTTTGGCAATCTATTTCATCCTTATTTTCCCCAGCTATAACACAGAGATTCCACCTTCATGCAAAGAAGAGTAGCCATTTCTGTGTTCTCTGCTTCTCTCCATTGAAGCACTGACCATGCAGAACTGTGGTTATCTGTGTTACATTTACTTGCCACTCTATCTTTGAATGAGCTTTTTGAGGGCAAGGATTATGACCAGGGTAAAATCCAGAGCCTTGTCCTTGGAGGACAACCAACATTTGTTGAACTAAATAACTTTTACTATTTGTCCCTTGGAGTAATTTGTGTACATAATTCTAATATTTYGGAGATTGTGAACTCCCTGAGGGAAGACACCATGTACAGTAGGACCTTTGTGTCTGCAGTTTCTACATTGTGGATTCAATCAATCATGGACTGAAAGTTCAGGTGTCCCTTGGTATAGGGGAGAATGGGTTCCAGGACCTCCTCAGATTTATGCATGCTCAAGTCCTTCATATAAAATGGCAATATTTGCATGTAATCTTTTGCACATTGTCCTATAAAATTCAAATCTTCTCTATTTATAATACCTAGTAGAATGTAAATGCTATGTAAGTTGTTGCTATACTGCATCATTTAGGAAATAATGACAAGACAAAAAAAGTGTATACATGTTCAGTACAGAAGCAGTACTTTCCCCCTGAATATTTTCCAACCCCAGGTGTGGAATTGCTTATTGGAAAGGAACTCTGCTTGGGGTCCTGGAATATATTGTGGAGATACTGTGRGATGACTGCACAATAAATTTGAATTACCCACAGTCCCTAATTCCCAATCTCCATGTTTTTTTTCATAGCATTTCCCACTATCYGACATTATCTTCTTATTTATTTGTTTATTGGCAATACACTCCAACTAGATTGTAAGCTTCATGAGAACAAGAATCTTGACATTTTAAATATTTTATACCCATATCTAAAGCTGAAAGACAGCACACACACCCCATATGAGGAACGAATGATTCTTAGCTCTGCTGCTTATTGGATATGTGCCTTCGAGCAAATTACTCAAGCAAGTTTGTGAAAAGTGCCTGGCACAAAGTCCCTTGCGGAAGCAAAAAGGCAGACGTCTTATCCCAGTCGCAGATATTCAGACCTAGTTAAGTGAATCAAATGAAGCCCTTACCTCCCATCTACATATTCCCCGATATATTTGCTCCCTGTGTACTCCATGACTCCCGCTTCTAGCCTCCAGCAGCTGGGATCCCAGTCTTAGTGGACAACGCCTCACTATGACAACCAGGAGGGGTGGGCGGAACCGACGCGAAGCCCCGCCCCATGCACGCGCCGGACTTCCTGGCTTTGCGCATGCTCCGTCTCCGGTGGCGGAACGGAGCAGTGCGCCTGCGTGCTGTGGGATGCGCACGCGCAGGCTGGGCTACGGCGGTCCTAAGCGGAGTTCAAGGAGACGGTGGCAAAGCCGCTGAGGGCACCTTGGCGGGGTCGCAGCTACAGCCGTCATGCCGGGGATAGTGGAGCTGCCTACTGTGGAAGAGCTGAAAGTGGAGGAGGTGAGGCTCGTCCGGAGGACAGGCAAGAGGGGCACAGGGCTGCAGCTGGCTAGGCCTGGGCCCAGTCTTCGCCTCAGCGGACCTTGGGCCCCGACCCCCAGTTCCCGATCCCAGCACACACACCGGATTCCCAAACGTCCATGCATAGCTCCGAGGATCCTGACCCACCCCACTGCACCCCGCTGTGGCTGTAGAACACCCCCACCCGCCACCACCAGAGACCTGCTCCTCTTTCTGTGAATAATAATGATACTTTTTACCAACCATAAGCCAGGCAGGGCCTCTTTACCTCCTGTCGCTCACACCTCCCTGTGAATGGAGTATACCGTCCCAGGTGCGCACATCCGAGGGCGGACGGTCACATTAAAGTATTTCATCGATGCAGAATACATTAGAAAGGAGTTAAGGAGCTGTAGGAAAATACGATGATATTGAAGAATATATTTGCTCACAACTATGGCAAGGTGTTTGGTCTGGACATATTTAAAGCCTATCTTAAATATTACAATGTGCACATACACTGGAAAATACGAGATAAAGTCACTGCTCTCATATAGGTTTTAATCTAAGAGGGAGACACATAAAGAGGTAGTTATACTACAGTGTAGTTAGTGCCATGAGAAGTGAAGACAGTAGATTACTAATTATAGCTCCCATGATCCAGCCATTTCTCAAAGCCAGGCAGGATGCAAATAATTACTTTAGATGCATTAATTTATTGAATCTTCCCAGCAACACTATAAGGTAGGATATAATTGGCCTTCCCCTGTTATAGATCAAATAGACCCTGAAAGTAGGAGTGGTTTGCTCGAGGTCACATAGCTAGTATGTGGTAGAGTTGCGTGGTGAACCCAGGTCTGGTCCTGAAACCCATTTTTAAAATACTTGGTTATGGGCAGATGCTCAACAGATTGGGAAGGTTTAATAGAGTCTTGGTTTGTTGGGGTTCCAGGTGCTGTTTAATGTGATCCTAGTGTTGGTGGGAAGCAGCAGGTCCTGAGCCAGGAGATATACCTATGGCTGAGATAGGACTTGGCCAGGCAGTTTGGACCTTATCCTATAAGTGAGGTGGTGGGAAGAAGTGATATGACTGGATAGTAGAAGGAACAGGCTACATAAAAGGAGGGAAAGGGCATGACTAAAAATTGGTGACAAGAATTATGAGTCAGGCACTGTGTTTTACCTGCATTACTTCATTTAGTCTTATATGCCTGTGAGGATGACAACTGTTATTTTCCTCAAATGAAGAAATTAGCTGTGTTCAGGAGCTTTATAATAAAGTGACATTTGCTAAGAAGAGGCAGGAAGAATGCTTCTGAGGAACCAGTTTTTTATTTCTTGCCCCATCATGAAACTGGGTTAAACGTGAGTTGCTGTATTTTTCATTGGAATTTTAATTTGGTTCAGCAAGCATTTGAGGTTCTGTTTTATGCAAGAAGTTCTTTATCTGAAATAAATTTGCCTTTAGGATTTACATCTGAAATGTGAATTGAGAAACAGATAATAAATGACTAAAATATAGGACAAAGTACCATTAAATACTATGAAAGAGGGGCAGGCATGCCTAAGGAAAGGGTTTGATGTTCGATATTGATTCCAGGGCTAACTGTCAGTCACCTTAGTTAGTCACTTTCAGCATTTTCGGACAGTTATTTTGTTTGTAAGATGAGTGATTACTATTGTACAGTTCTCTGAGGCTATAAAGGGAAAACAAAAAGTCCTTCTTGGCCATAAGATAGGATATAGCTAAATGGACATTTGAATAATGGCATTTCTGGGCAGAGATGGAGAGAACTCTTAAGTGAAGGTAGGATTTGAGCAAAGGTAAGGAGCTGGGAAAATGTAGGGGGCTAAAAATGGGTTGGGGAACAGTGAGTTCAGTGTTTAGAGAACAGCAAATAATCCCTTTGTGAAACTTGGATGAGAAAGCTAGAAAGATAAGTTTGACAAGATCATTGTACTGTCATGTGTAACTAATTAAAACAAAACAAAACAAAACAAAAAAGATAGTTTGGAACCAGAAGGCTTTGAACAGCCAGTAAGTTTAGGCTTTGTCCTGTTAAGGCTGAACTTTGACAGAACATTCTCCTTCTCCTCTCTCTCTTTAAGGTACTGGGGATTGAACCCATCAGTACTGTACCTCTGAGCTTTATTCTCAGCCCTTTTTTAAAATTTTTGGTTTTGAGACATGGTCTCACCAAATTGCCCATGTTGGCCTTGAACTTGTGATCTTCCTGCCTCAGCCTCCCAAATAGCTGGGATTATAGGTGTGCACTACTGCTCCTAACAATGATTTGTTTTAATAGCAGAGTAGAATAGGAATTATCATTTAGGATAATCACTTCAGCAGTTTGCAGGAAGGAAAAAACAAGTGAATATGTCTGGAATTGATCCTATTTAGCAATGGATTAAGAAGGAAGGCGGGGAAGGTTGAGGAATCAATGTCAGATTTGTGTTGACAGTAGAATTGGGGAAGCCAGAAGCAACAGCAAGTTTGGGGAGGAGGTTAAAAGCATTTTGGATCTTGTTGACTGGGAGTTATGACACATCCCCATGGAAAACGTAGTTAGAAGCTTTGGGCTGGAAACTTCCTTGAACACATTGATAATTTTGAGTAAAAATGAGAATTATAGCTAATATTGATGATGTACTTTATGTCAGGCAGAGTTCTTAGTATATTTATATGCATTGACTCATTTGATCCTCATAATGGATCTATAAGTAGTATCATGCTCCACTTTACATATATTAAAGAAAATAAAAGGCCTGATATAAACCAAGTACCATAAGAAGTTGCAGACGTGGTTTAAGGAAGCAAGAAAAAGACTAGAAGATCTCTGCCTCACTTCCCACACCTGCAGACTTTATAATCCTGCTGTGCAGGTTGGCTTGTGAGGTTAGGTGAGGAAAGATGTCGAAATTCTGTCTTCTTGAGACAAAGGGCGTTGAATGAATTTGAAAGGGTATTCATGGTAAGCAGCTGTGAAAGGACAGCCTTGATATTGGAATTCATCAGTCAGTCTTAGTGAAGAAGCAGGTGAGGAGATGTGGTTGACACCTCAGGTTCTTTGCTGTATCAGGGATGGTGATGACTTGGGAAAAGGCCTGGTTAGAGGTCATAGGCTTTGGGTTCCAGTTCTGGGGTTGCTATTGACTGGCTTGTCATTGAGCATATGTCTCTTATTCATCAGTTAGGAAATGGATTTAGTGAGTGATTCTCATCCTTTATTTCTTTGTGACTTAGGTAGTGTTTTATATGCTCAACAACATGGGTGTACCTTTGTTTGGGTAAAACCTCCACATCTGTAGGGAAGTAAAACAAATAATGTTGCAGGCTTTAGGGGGCATGATCACCATGGGCATTTGAGGTATTAAATTAGTCACTTAAGGATATTTTAAGGCATTTGAAAAGGAAGTAAATATAGCCAACATAATTTTTTAAATGTGTTATGCTTTAATTAAACTTTGAGTGATCATTTTTATTCTCCAAACTGTTTAGGTAACTTTTATTTTAAAAAATTTTCATGTGAAAGTTTTACAGATTTTTGACAAATTTATTAGAATTGTCATGGCAAATTTCACTTACATTATAACTTTATCTTTGTTTTCACTTACATTATAACTTTATCTTTGTTTTTAATAATTATGAAGTTGTAATATTTGTAGACATAGTCATATCTTTAATTTTCTCTTCCTGTAGTGTGTAAATTACTCTCTTAACTGGGCAAAGTGAATAAAATTATAGACTTTTCTCATAATAAAATACTTAATTTTACAAATCAAATCCATTATTGTATTAAAGTACATTACTATGATAGACTAGACTAGATTTTATTCTAGAAATAGAAGTCAGTTTTAGATAAATCTGTAAATGCTCTATGTTTCATTTATAGGTTAATAAAAAGATGCTTGAAATTTTTTTATTAGTCTTTCTTAGGGAAGACAATAGCAACAGGAAAGCAGATAAATGTTGTATCAAGCTGTTTTAAAGTTTAGGAACAAAAAGTTCCCTACTGTCATTTCAGTTTATCTGAGTTGTGCTGGAGGGTTTGATCAGAGCAATAAAATAGTACAAGAGAATAAGAAGGAAAAAAGATGGGGCTGGGGTTGTGGCTCAGAGGAAGAGTGCTTGCCTAGCACATGAGAGGCAATGGGTTCGATCCTCAGCACCACATAATAAGTAAATAAATAAACAAATAAGTAAAATAAAGTCTTTTTTTTTTTTAAAAGAAGGAAAAAAGATATAAACATCAGAAAGAAAGACAAACTGATTTTATGGTTTTAAATGGTAAGTATTTTCTGATAATTCTCATGAGTTTTGTATTGAAACTGGTAAGATGGCTTCAGTAAGGTGGCTAAGAAATTTATAGTGTATAAGCAAGCAGTAGCCAGTTTGAAAATCCAGTAGAAAAAAGTACTCTACTTAAGATAAATGCTAAGCTGGATATGGTGGAGCCAGTGACTTGGGAATATGAGGCAGGAGGATTGCAAGTTCAAGATCAGCCTCAGCAACTTAGGGAGACCCAGCAACTTAGTGAGGCCTTATCTCAAAATTAAAAAAGGATTGGGATGTCACTCCTGGGTTCACTCTCCAGAACCAAAAACAAACAAAAAACTTGTGGAATAAGCAAGAAATGTGCAACGTCCCTTTATGAAGGGAACTTCATTTTAACCAAGGA